AAGCACATTCCCAAGTTTAACTTTACGTTGCAAGCAACATCTTTAGCATTGGATGGGATGGCACTCTGAAAATTCCACAACTTAAAAATCACAGAGCAGTTGATGCAAGAAACGATCTGATACGCTGCAATAGCTCTGCCTTCACTGAATCAGGAATGGATGCTGTGCAATTAAAAAAGACAGAGAAGAAAAAATCATTACATTGGAAGAAAGAGTTAAAATGTAGATCTCGCATTTAGTTCTTCATAAAATTGAGAACAATGCAGACACGTGCCCTGCTGATTATTACAGTAGTTTTAGGGAGCTAGCAGGAACCATTCTATCCTCATGCTCCTTATCTCTATCCCACGCAATGCACAACATTGCAACTCTCATAGCATCCCCATCCTTATCAGCACTGAAGGAGGACAATAACCACAACAATAATTACCATCATCCCACCAGTCTCACTTTTAATCTTTGACCTAGAGAGTTGCAGCAGATGGATTAGATATTTGTACTACTGCCAGGGTCAAATTGGGTCCTTTAAATATCTCATGCCCAAGCACAGTCCAGTGGAGGTTCCTTAAACAAAGGACACAGTAGTTGCCTTGGAAAAACAAGTGCAATACATCAGTCAACGCTTTCCATGCCATTAGCAATATACGGTCAATTTTTTTCATGCCTAACCAACATGTAATCACAGAGAACCGAACTCTACACATACACCACCATCCCAGAAAATGAAAAGCTAAATAACACATGCAGAAAGGGAAAAAGAGGGAAGAACAAACACATTGAGATCCAGACAAACTTTTTCATTTGTTTGGATGTTTGAGGAAGGAAAAATAATAGTTGTGACAGAATTTTCTTTCTTTTTTGTATTATCTTATTTCCTTTAATGAAGTTTCCTTGATTGCAGGAGGGAAAATTAACCGCAAGCCAAAACTAATAATGAGAAGGGAAACAGGATTTTAGAGGAAGACATTGCCAAAGGATGATAGGGGTGAGCAAAATGCATAAATTTCACAAGCACTAATTGCACAGCAAGTATTTTAACATGCTAGTGATCAAAAGCAGAGCCCAGTCCCATCTGGAAGCAACCTACATCAACTTGAGGAATGAACTAATTGACAACGTAACCAAAAGAAAGCAACACAAAGTTGAGAGTTTATATTGTCTAAAAAATTCAAAGAAGAAAGATGAAATTCAAGGTCAACAATAAAATCAAAATTTCATGAATAAATAAGTAATTTACCTACCTCTTCCCTTTGGGGTTATGACGTGAACAAGATCATCCACAGTTACATTATTCCTTCCTCTCTTCCTTGCAAAAGCCCTTGTGAAAGACAGGTTTTTCAAATATGGAGGTGTTATGAGTGCAAGAAAAATTTAACTACATCTTATATTGTACAAGAACAAACAGTCACAACCGAGAACTCATTATGATTCATAAGCATTTCACTCAAGTTCAAAGAACTCAACTTAGCCTTCAATTTAGAAAGGATAAGTAACCTTTCACAAAAAATGAGTAACATTTTATCACTACTATCTAGAAACAGCTCTTTACATACCAAATATAGAAATCAATGTGGGTTTCACTCAAATTAAATTCTCTACATCAGCCAACAAAAGAAGATTAGAGCAATTTTCTTAAACATTCCTTCTTCAATGTATGCTTAAGTTTTGTCAGCAAAAAAAAAAATTCTATTAACCAGAGTGAGCCAATTGTTGGTACTAAAGTTTAGGAATTGCAACAGGATCCCAAAGTGCAGGTTGGTCAGGAAGAGGTACCCACTAAAGTTATAATCTCTCACCAAAGCACATGCATGGAAAGTGAAGAATCTGCACATGCATATTTTTACCTGTGAACTGGAACTTTTAAGTTGTTTAATGTCGAATAATAGAGATTTTTAGAATGGACTATAAGAGTTAGAGGAGGGAGAGGGTTCTAGAATGGATACATCAAACTTCAGTGTTCTTGAGCATTTGACTTAATAAACGACCAAGGTCCTGGCTAATTCACTTTCTGCAATAAACTTTGTACTAAAGCACACTACTAGATGAGAAGGATATTTGCTTTGTATGCATAAAAACGACCTCTAAAACCTGTCTAAACGACAACCAGCAACAGGAATCTTACATCACAAAGTAGCTGTGGGTCGATTCTAACACCTCACTTGCGTCTTTCATGCAAGACCTATTGGGTTTTCCAGTATACACAAGGTAAGGATAATGTACTGTAAACAGTTTAAGTTCAAGAAGAAGTTGATTTCTCTCCCTGGTGCACTTCTGAAAAGTTTGGTGACCTTTTTGGTGATTGACTCTTTTGAAAAAGACAGCAGGAGGCCACTATCTTTCAATACACAAGGGGGTAAAATGGTTTAATATGTGCCACATTGCCCTGAAAACTCAAGGGATGCAACCACTGAACCACTCGACCAGGGGCAAAAGACAATAAAGGTCAGGCCTTGAAAATGTATATTTCAAAATGAGTCGAAATTGGATGGGATTTCTTTTTTTCTTTTCTCCCTATAAAATTGGAAGGTTTGAAATCCATGCAAACTACCATGGTAGTTAAATACTTGGTATCAATAGCTTCAAGTTCGATAAGTAAAGATGCAGATAATGACGCGGACAAAAAAGGCTACTTCATTTCAGTTACTAGCACTCTAAGAACCAGAAGAGGCGCAAATTTAGTCAAAAGTTCGAAAACTGGGAAAGAGGGCGAATGTCCCAAAACCTGCAAAGAGTTTTCATTTCATCCTTCCAACCACATTCTACAAGCCTTTCCCTCAAAAGCTCCTTCAATCTTTCTTTTTCTCCACTCTCTACTAGCTGCAATGTAGCAAATTCATAAATTACAGCCAATTATTCAATATCCAAACTACGCTACCAATTTACAAAATTGAGATATAAAATAAGCTGTTCCATGAATAACTAACCTTGCACCAATTAAGCAGAAAAACTTAATTAGACGAAAGACACGAACGATTACCTTGATATTAATAATTTCTTGAAGAGTAGGTTCTCGATCTTGCTCCTCTTCTTCTGCATCTGGAGTTGGTGGACGTTTAACTGAAGACCTCCTTTAGTTTAAGCACCCCAAAAGCATTGCAGGAATATGCAAAATCAAATAACCAAGAATCATTAAAAAACAATTTGGCAGGGCCAAACAAAAGGGAAAAGAATGAAAAAGTAAAAATTCTAGAGAATCTGATGATGTCGCTGATTACATAATTAACCAAAACCGGCGGGTGCTTTATGGACAGAGCTTGGATGAGCAGCTGCAACAAAGTACAATCGGAAAGTCTCCAACTTTCGTCTTATTTCGTATTTATACAGCGATAAGTCGGTGATTCTTCGAGTATGAAGGAAAGAGTTGCGGCGATTTCCTGCCTCTTTTTTTTTTTCAATTTTTTTCTTTCAATTTATCCGTGTTATGGAATGGATTGTATTTCTCATGTATGGCCTTTGGGGTTTATAGGAATTACATGTAACCACGGAAATTCTGAAAAAGTGGCAAAAAAGCCCAAGAATTTTATTCTCCATCAAATAGGAATAAAGTGATTATTAAAACCATAAACTGTCAAAGGAAGAAAGAGAAAACATATATATATATATATATATATATTTTTTTTTTGGTTTGACTAGACCTCGGGATTGGCAAAGCAATTGTCATGTATGATAGATCAATTTTATATATAACCGTATGAGTTGCATTTTTCGTCATTTTTCATAAAAAAATTATTATAGTGATTTGATGTATGTGAGGAAAAAAAATAATAAAAAAAAATGATCACGAAAAACGATGTAATTTCTGACAAAAAATGGCAATCCAAACACATCAATTTTATTAGATGAGTTTGTTTTTCAAAAAAATTAGGCAAGATTTTTTGAGTTTCTTAGCTCATTTTCTTGAGTAAAACATTTTAAACTTTACGCTTCAATCTTGACGTTGAAATGTTTTATATGAGTAGAATATGGACATGGCATAATAATTGTTGAAAGTGTGATTGTGTGAACAAGAACAAATCGCAACGTATGCCTGTTGCAAGAAGGTACCAAAAATTTATATTGAATCCTACTAATGCTAACTATTTCACATATTACAACACAAAGTCCAAATTTTTACAATCGTTAGTGAATTTTCTGTATTTATTGAAATAAAAATGGTGATACAATTATTTTTTCTTCATTGTGCATTTGACATTTACATGCTCATTCTATACACACAATAGAGTATAAAAGATATTTTACGTGGCCTGTATTAGAATGGTAACTTGGGGTAAAATTATTTGATAATAATTTTATTAATTTTAGTCATTAGCTACTCAATTACTAGTCATATAAGTACGTCACAATGATAAATGACAAATCTAATACAAATTATCATTCAATTTTTTTTAAAAAAGAAAAAATAAAAAACTCTTGAAACACATTTATTTTTTGTACTTTCTAAATGGTTTGTGACATTTAAGAAAAAAAGCAATATGCTCTGATAGATTAAAAATAATACCAACCACACAATTTAAGATATTTCCATCATTCGAAAAAAAGAAGTTAGACATTTCAGAGCGCTAAATGGAATAGAAAGAGTGTATTTGGATAGTAGATTATTTAGGATAATTTTTTTTAAAAAATATTGTAATATTTTTTTGATGTGATGTATATAAAATAAAAAATAATTAAAAAAAATGTTAATGATACAAGTAATAAATTTTGACAAATAAATGACTGTCCAAACAAACCTAAAATGGTAAATTGAAACCAAAGAAAAGTAGCTACTAGCTACTATTAATCACTATAATGTGAATTTGTTTGCCAAACGTCCAGTGGTCATCCCAAATTTTTTTAGGTTTGGTGGTGCGAGAGGTCAAGGATTCGAATCTTGTCTCCCATAAAATTTGTCAGAATAATTTTCAATATAAGTCCCTCTTATTAGTGAGAATTACATCTTAGATTTATTTATTTATTTTTTGTTGCAAAACACAGTTGTAATTTCATTGGCCAAGCGACCAGTGAACCGCAGGCAACGGAGCGCACGGGAATGCTACCCCTTCTGCCGCCAACATGACCAAAAGTTTTCGCGGGCAATCGTCCATTACCAATCCCCAAATTTTCCCGCCAACAAAACATGCACCGGAGCTCGGAAATACCAAAACAGAAGATTGAGTCGAATTCTCGAAATCCACATCCAAACCCGTTTGATTTGATTTGAAGTCCAATGATGGCAGAGCATGAAGAACAAAATGCCGCCGAAGAAACCCACAGACCCGGGATTCCAACCCACCGAGTCAAGAAAATCATGAAACTGGACAGAGAAATCAAGAAGGTCAACTCAGAAGCCGTGTTTCTCATCTCCAACTCCACCCAGCTTTTCCTCCAGTTCCTGGCCGAGAAATCAGCTCAGGTTGTGTTAGAGAAGAAGAAAAAGACTATAAAGCTGGAGCACCTCCGTGCCGCCGTCAAAAGGCATCTGCCCACTAGTGATTTCCTCCTCGATTCGCTTCCGCCGCCTGCTCAGCCCTCCGATCAACTGCCCAAGGATCGGCCCCGTCCTCGCTCCAGTGACAAGCCTGTTCCGCCTGGGTCACGCAGGATTGATGCTTTCTTTAATAAATGTAATTAGGTCTCTGCTATTCTTCGGTTTTATATCGTCGAACATTTGGACCCTGTATGATTATTACCCCAATTTCAGTTTATTGATGCCTCTTATTAGTTTTTATGATGCTTCCATCATGTAATTGGTAGAAAAGGGTTATGTGGCTATATTTTTATGGCATTGAATTAGTAGTTAAATTTGTGAAATGCACAGAGAGCTGACTGGTTGTGCTGCAGCTAAATATAAATGCAGGATTATGCTTGCCTGAAATTTGCACACTCTGGAAGGTGAGCTTAAGTGTTAATTCTACTTAAGAGCTACGGGATCCCAAGCAATCCTGCTTTTATCTGATTGAACGCCCGCTTGCATGCTCATGTGTAGAAATCTGAAAGTCCTGGCTAGGAGTTCTTTGAGACGGTTTCATCTGAGGAATACTACTAGGAAGGGGCTCTCTCTTTAATTCTCCCTGTCATTTGCTGGGGCTGAACATATTTAATATTGCACGATTCTCTTGACGTGGGTTGCAAAGAGATCCCAAAACAATCGAGATTTATTTGCTGTCTTATTTCTTTTCATTTGAATTCAATGCAAGTCAAATGCTTCATGATTGGTAGAGGATGAATCTTCAACTTTTAAACCACATGATACGTACAAAGGCCATGCATAAGCTTAATCATGCTTCAATTTTGATCATTCTCTAGATTGGAGTCTTCAGGCAAGATATAAATATGTTTGCGTATGAGAAAACATGCATTATTTCCTTTTAACACAGCCTACATGTTTTCATGTTATGCACCTCTAATCAACATATCCAAATCAATTTCTTCTGCTATCATACATCTCACTCGAAATCTAAGGTGACTTGGGTCCAGAAAACGATGAGACAACTGAAGCTGTCTCTTCTCTGAGATGGGAAGCAAAGCTAGTTCGAGCGAAAGTTCTTTGTCCATGTGCTTTCTTTCCTTCTCTGCTGAAAGGTATGCCATGAATTGGGGAAGTTAAGCTATTCGGACCCTGGCCTGGCTGTTGTATGCCCAATGAGAGCCTTCTATTAAGAGGGCTAGTATTTCCAAAACCTCCATTTACACTTCTATCTGAGAGACGCCGACTGCTAGTGCTTGGCCTTGTCCCAAAAGGATTTCCTTGCTCAACCACTACTTGGCTTTGTACCTTCTTCTTTTCCTGTGAGGAAGACAAGAATTCTGAGAATAACAGTTGTCTAAGATGACTCTGGATGTTCAAATTATCTTTATGCAAGCGTACATCCAATTCAAATGAAAAAAAAAGATCATAAATTTCCCTCCACTTGAATGAAACTGAAGCTCATTTTAATCAATCAGATGATACTAACCCTTTGTCTCTGTTTCTCCTCTTCTTTTTCCTTCCTCAGCGTATTGTACTCTTCCAACATTGCCAGTAGGGGAACCTAAAAGGAGAAGATGATGACTACAAGGTGAAAAAACTTGATGATATCCTTAGAAGAATGGCCAGGTAAAAAATAACACACCCTTCAAATTGAAACCAAGCACGCTGCACTTGCATGTCATGGAACAGCTGTGAAATTTGTGTTGAATAGCTAGATTTGATCAAACTATCCATTCAAGATATCCAATTGTTTTAGAAGTAGTTGTTTTCTTTGTAACTAGCTGCAAGATTTTCTTTCGTTACATTTTCCAGTGGTCTAAAGAGGTGCCTCAATTTTTTTTTTTTAAAATAAATTGTACAAGGATGCTTTCAAACTCTAGTGTACCTCATCATATAAGAAAGTATTCTTTCTTTCTTCTTCCCAGGTCTTTGTCTTTTCTATCAGCAAATCTACCAGAGCTGCATCCACAGATTTAAAACTCCAAGTGTTCTATTACAGAAAATCAAATTCTTAGGCCCTCTGGTGGTTCCCACTACTTGCTGATTTTGAATGTATACCTGGAATCTTGTTAACCAACACTCTAGCACGTTCTGCTCTTTTCAGATTCCTGTGAGCACCTCTGCTGACTGAATACCGATTCTCATCCTGGAAATATTCATCTTAGAAAATTGAGGTACATAAATTGGCAATGCAAACCAAATCTTTATTTCAACAAGAAAGCAGCTTACCCTGCTATACTCTTCCAACCAGCGCTCCTCGTCACATGCTAATATCCATTTTTCTACTTTCTCCATTATAGGCTTCCTGCTGGCAGCTTCTTCTTCTGCTCTAGCTATCTGTTCATCCATGCTCATCAAGAGATCAGCATGGTCAATCTCCCCTATTGCATGGTGTTTGTCAGTGTTTGAGGCTATATATTATCAAGGGAAACATGTTTTGTAGTTCAAAAAAGAAAGATACATCTAAACTGACCGGAGTTTATCAGGTTCATTATATTCTCCATCTCTGATCTTGAAGGGATTTCCATATGTGATTGATTGCATATCTCCTCAAGCTCAAGTTGTTTTTTGAGAAAAAGCTCTTTCATCTTGCTTGCTTTCAATTGGTCCAGTCTATTGACTTCAACCTCGGCCTTAAAACAATTTTAGACAGTCTCAGTGTTAGGTATGACAATCTTTTTGGTGTTTCAGCTTGTACAAACAAACCTGCTGGATTATGTCGAGAGTGAGGCTTCCAGGTGTATATATGTCAGATGATGAAACTGACGATAAACTGGTGACATGAGAGAAACGTTCACGATCTTGATAGTGAGTGTCCATGAGATTCCATACGTTTATTAATGCTTTACCGAGGACTTGAAGCTGCACAAATAAGAAATAATGATCTGTGGGGAAAATATTTGTGTGGAAAATTCACCTGAGCCTCTGGTTGCAGCTCTCTTTCTACACACACACACACACACAGAGACACGCATATGGATCTGTTTATGCTCGTTCTCTTTACGCAATGAAGTTTTTGTCCTAGTAAAATTGACTTTGGTTTTTTTGTTTAAGAAGGGTATTTTATTTATTTATTTATTTTGTTTGTTATGCAACATCCATGCGTTAAGGCATTTTATAGCACACAACAAATGTTCTGTATTCAATAGATATAAACAAATGCAATAATATGGAAAGCAAGCAAGACCGCTTAAGTACTAAACTTTACCTTCTCGTGTCGCTTTTGCTTTTCAGCTTCAAGTGACTCCACAGTACTGTCTAGTTTTGCCAAAATGAAATCACCTATATTCTTCGACAGACCAGACAATGCGTTCAAGCTCGGATGAACCTTTGTGATAATCATGGAGGAATCCATTCCCAGAGTGGCTGACAAGTTCTGAATTGTACTCATATATTTTTCTACCCTTTGAAGTCTGTCGCTCTTTCTTGTCAACAATTGGGGAACAAGAAGAAAGTAAGATGTCAGGTTTGTTAGTTGATGCTCTCATTTTAGATAGTCATTGTGTGCTTCTGTATAATGTTGCGTTACTACTCATACCTTCTCATTGTGAAGTCTCTGAAGCTCATTTTGGTACTCTTCAAGTCTTTTTAGTGAAAGGTCACTTTCATTTACTACAATGCTCGATGATGTGTCATTGTACTCTGATCGACCTGCTATTTCTCCTGAAATCTTCTGAATTTGTGATTGTACAGCACGGAATTGCTTCACCCTCTCTTCTTTTCTCAACTGCATCTCCTTGAGAGCTGGAGTAATTGAATTTAGCTGTTCCTTCAATGTTCCAGTCATTTTCTCTGGCTATCCTTGACAAGGGTACTTGAATTAGCATGTTTCAAGTAGTCATTATCATGCTAAATAAAGTCCGGCTGGAATGAACTGCAACCTCTATGGTGCTGCAAATATTACTTGCTTCTATTGGAATTTAATTGCGAGAACTTCGAGATTAAGACTAGTTCTCAATGTTGCCAACCTAGCTTGGTGTTTTTATAACTTAAAAAATGAACCTAATCAGAATAGCATGCCTCAGCCTGGTAAAATCCACTAAAATGTCATTGGCATATCATGAACTTTAATTCCAACTGTGTATCCACAGGAGCGTCAGACACCCTAACTGAACTCATTCTCGATATGGAAGTGATGTCTTCCACAATTTGAGGTAAATCATATGCTGATTATCCATGAGAATTAGGACTGCTAGATTGAGTTAATCAAGTGCAAGTTTATTCAGAAAAGATGCTGGCATCCATGCCAATTGAATAATTGACTCGACCATCAGAGAGGAAAAGCTGAAAAGTTACCCGTAGAGGGAGGGAACGTTCGCCAAGTGACAGAAGCAGATGGGTAAACTCAGCTTGAGCATCTGCCAGTTCCTGGTGTAGTCGAGCTCTTGATATGTTTGCATTGTCAACTTTCTTTCTATAAACCTCCAGACACTCCTGTTCTATGTCCAGAAGAACCTTTTCCCTTTCAAATTGATCTCCTCCAACTTCATCCCATATCATCTGTCTTGGTAATCACAGAGCCATAATTAGTTATGATTAAATGAAAATAATATAGGCTCGCAATAGAAAACTTGCCTGCAGTTCTTGGAGCAAATATCCACAGGAGGTCTCCAGCAAAACAGGACATTTTGTTCCACTTGGTGTTTGAAAGGAACCCATTTTTAAGGGATTGATGTTTAACTGAGCGCAAAGAAGTTCAGGCTCCCAGGAAGTGGTTTTTCCTGGTAAGCAAGAGCAGATGTCCCAATTTTAAGTAAATTCTAGATGCGGACACTTAAGGGTAAGATGGGAGAGGGACGGTCACGAGGTGGGAACTATAGGTGCGAGTTTTTGCTTGAAAGTTAAGGCTGAACAGGTGGGGTGACATGCTTAAAACTAGTAGTGAAGAACTGAAGCTTTATTTTCAAGAGTCCCCTGATGCTTTTTGTTGCCTAGTATTCTTTCCCTCTCCGACGGTTTACGTTGAAATTCTGATGAACTTATGAACTACTCTCACTAGAAATAAAGGCATTATTATTGTTCCAGTCTTTAGTGTGCTGCCGCTTTAGCGCTCCACAGGACTTGATTCCTAAGCAACCTCTACCTAAAGGCGGAGTAGGTTGCGGCAGGATGGGTTCTCGGACATGAAAGTGGTTTTGGACTTCCTAAGCCCATCCATATGATTCAAGTCACGTACGAGCAGCTAGGACTTCGTCATTGAGATAGAAATCAGTAGTGATTGATGCTACTTGCCTATCAATTAGAGATGGCAGGGCAGTCTTTTTCCCTTCCCCACCTTTCGTTTTTTTTGGGTTAAGAATTTATTTGGGGTACTGATGTCTGGATCAGTGGCTTGAAGTACTACGATTACTGCTTGATTTATTTAGGGTGGGTGAGAAGGGTCTGTAATGATTTGAATCCCTCAAATGTCTGATTCCTTTCCTAAGCATCATTATCACATGATTAGAAATGTTTATTGCCCAAAAACATATGCGCACCTTATTTATATTTGGAATGATGCTTTAGTTAAAAGTCATCCTCTTCTCCAGAAACCTGGAAGTTCGAGTCTAAGAGAGTTCATTACCCTCCAAAATTGAGTTCAACCTAACTGCTACTACTATATATATATATGTTTGTTTTCCAGTCCCACTATTGGCGGATTACTCGTAATTAATTGTTATATTAAAAGACAATTACTACCAAGAAAACTAAAGATCTCTTCACTTATTTGTCCGGAAGGGAGGGGAAAAAAAAAAAAAAAAGGAGGATTAAGAGATTAAGTTATTAGCGAATGTAAGAAAATGGAGTGGTTGAAATTAGTAAATAGTCATGTCACGGTTGTAGTTGCGTATGGTCAAATTAACTCACCCGACGGCGTGAGACACACAGAAGCACTTAAAAGCGCAAACATGGTATGGTAGTATAAGAAACTCCCCGCCTTTGACCGGAGCTTTGAAAAGCATATCATCCTCTCTTCTCTTCTTCACTCTCTTCTTGTTCTTTGTCTCCTCAGAACAGAAGGCTAAGGCTTCCATTTGAATTAGAAGCCATTTCATGAACCTGTGGGATTGGTCGCACAGCCCACTGGCAAGGGAGAATGACGACTATTGAGTGATGAAGCTGTCTGTCGTTATTAACATGAATCGGTGTCTTAAGTTCTCAAAAGTTGATTTCACGGGAAGATAAACACATGAATTTGAAGTTTTAATTAGTTGGTAAAGGATGCAGAAAAATTAATGGGAAGCTAGAAGAAAGCGATCAAGATCAAACAGAAAACTATAACCTGGCTACCGAGTTCACCTTCACTCCTGATGACAGGGCCGCAAAGCAAAGCACAGAATTACTGGTCCGGGATTCCTTCAAGCTCGCTAACACTGACGGTAACTCGCTCACTGAAGACGAAAGCCGCGGAACAGTTGTGGTAAGAACCGTTTGCAATACTTTGCATTGTGAAATTCTGCACAAGCGTGGCGTTCCTACTTGGACATAAACCAGGAATTCTGCTACGCATGAATCATTTGCGTCTCCCATTACGAACTCGAGGATGTATTTAGATAAAAGATCTTTGAAGACATATAAATAATGATCAGTAAGAAACTCCAAAAGTATCCTTTATAATCCTAACCCATTTAACAGGTTGCATGGTTACAAGCTCGAAGCTGCCAGATTGTACAAGACTCCTCAGCAATTCGTATTATTTGCATTTTTATAATTTGCAGCTTATACTGACTTAGATTTCTAAAAATTACCGCTGTCCAATTAGCATTTCAGGAATTGGCAGCTGATTCGGACTGTGTTTAGTACCATGCAATGAATCAGACGTAGAGAGAAGTTTATTTTAAAAAAAAATAAAAAAGAAAAAAACACGAAGTACTAGACCATCAGATGGATGTTTAGGAAGTATTTACCCGAATAACCCTTGGGCATTTCATTTCTCTGCATGCCTGGCAAATGTACCTACCACAGGCCAATAAGTTACACTAGGTTGCTCATTTGTGACCACGCTTTCGATCTCAAGGTTGATGAACTCGCTTGCACCAACCCAGGGGTCCCATGTAGGAAGCGCAGCTCTCCCACGTTTTTCTACCCAAGTGGTAAGTAATTGCTTTGGATGGAAGGAGAAGACCTTGGATCCTCCAGGAAGCGAGACATTGACAGCAATGGAATTATTGTTGCACTAACAGCTTGAAGGAAAGTATCAAAGATCACTATTTTCTCTTGGAATTCATTTTTTCTGTTTATAGCCATCAAATTGTGGAAGGAGAATGATGAGATGGAGTGTTTGCCAACTAGTACCTCTTTACTCCATTTGACTCGGATGTGGTATCCTGAGTGCCTGGAATGACTTACCAAAGTATCTTCTCGAGATCACGTGTTACCTTTCAAATGCAGCCAGCCTTAGATCAAGGGATATTAAAATGTTGCTTATAATTACCTTCTAAACTCTTATCTAGTTAGCTTTTCTTGTGATAAATTGAGACGACTTCCTGCTATTTCAGCATGCATTACTCAACCTTCGCAAGTTTCCAGCTTAATGACAATAACCCAGAGATTTATTTAAGCTTCTCGGCCATTAAATTAAATATCTCTCGGTTTCGCTTTTTCTGCTCTATATTCAGCGCTAACAAACATATTTATTAGAATTCGAGTTGCCAAATTTCACTCACATTCATTACGATGAATTGTAAACCCAGACTGAGACGCCCAAGAATAGCATGGATTATATGCAGCTGAACCTATTCAAATATATCAGAACTCAGACCCAAATTTTCCAAAACTTCATGCTGGTTACATATCAAGAAAGAAGGCTGTATGAAGGCATGTCCTCAATTCGGAGAACATCATCCATTAAAAGTTCTTTTTCCAACTGAGACCGGGTGGTTCTCAAGACATCCTGCCAAATGTAAGAAATTAGCAGAATGGAAAGAATCTTGAAGACCTATAATCAGCAAATCAGCTTAACATGGACTGTAAAACCTGACAAACGGATGTGATGCATGCAATCTTTGACAGGAAAAAAAAAAAATTGAGGCCGCATATGCGGATGTGATGCTCACATTGAATTCCATGTACGTTGCATTCCTTTCCAACCACTGTTTATCCATAATCACAAATGCCACGCAGTAAAGTAGGTCAAAGGCCCATTCATTTTCTGCAAATGCATAGAAGCGTCTACTTATATGTACAGACCTGATGTGCCAAACCTCTGGCTTTCTCATTTTTGACCAAGCAGCATTTGAGGTCTCTTTAGAACACAACAGAATATAAAACCCCAAGGGTCAAGGATCCCACTTCTCTTACCTGACAACATTTGTAGGAAAACAGGTCTCACAAATGTTCTGGGTTTTACTGCATACAGTTAATATGAGCTAAGTTAGCCTGTGCCCAAGTTAGAAGTATCAGTCTCACAGAACTTTTTGTGACATGACCATCCAATAGTTATTCAAATTTGACTAAAGGGTGACAATATTCTTTTCTTACAGGAGTCCAGATCAAGCATCTGCATAAGCATGAAAGTTATATTTACACCACCAACCGCAAACGGATACTCCCAAGTGGCTCTATTACCACCTTCCTTCTTCAACAGTTGTTGAAATGATGTCTGTAGCAAGAAACACAGTGAACTTTTTATTCATCAATAGTTTAAGATTGTAAAACCAAAGTGTAGAGTCATAATAGCAATAATACTTGGACTGTCTCACAATGTAGGAAAGACTCGTTACCAGCTTCAACCAAGGTAAGACTTCCTCAACATGCAGGCATGTTTTCGCGGCTTAAAGAAAATTTAAAGCTACATAATAGAACTCTCCTAGGCAATATTATAACAAAAAATAACTTTCGCACAAACAAATGCAAGAGTAAAAGCTTACAGAAAATGTTTTGGCGAAGAAAAGTAAGTTCTCCAAAGATACGAATCCAGCTCCCCTGGCCAAAAGAAACATCACCAGCATCATGAGAAAATACAGAAATGAGAAATAGACCTAGTTATGATTCTCACAGAAAGAGAGAGAGAGAGAGACCTGAAATCATTTGATGGATCTCTACCCTGCCACCCCATATCTTTCCACTGATCAGATACCAAACTAATCAGCTCCTGACCGGGGTAGGTGGCATGCCATAGAGCCCTTAAAGCTTCCTACCAGTATCAAAGATGCAGTGGCGAGTCATTCAAGTTTTTGAATTATTACTGAGTCAGTCTTCAACAAAGCAACCTACTTTGATTTTTTTTAAACCCAGATACTCTAGGTAGTCTATGGCTAAGTTGAGTTGATTCAACTCCCATTTCAGACTTAGTTACACGGAAACTCTTTATTAGTATTAGGCTTGATGGTTATATAACAAGTGAAACAATCAGTCGTGATTTAGGACAAACTAAAACATGAACACACCTGATGTTCTACTTTGGAACCATCAAAACAGATCCTCATCCGTCGTTTTAACCTTCTCAATCTTTCTTCCTGCTAACTCCAGTGTCAGATTGTCAAACATTATAACCCAAATAAAAAATTATTAACTTCTAGTTACTTGTAACCTTAAATTGATATTCAAAATAAAAAAAGTATCCAGCTGAATTCTAGACAAGTCAAAATGGTCAATGGAAAACAACATAATAAAAATCATGCAAAATATGATTTACCAGTAATTGACAATCCGTTGCTAATACACTTACCTGTTGGGGTGTCAAATCGAAAAAAATTCGTTCATAAGTTCCCTTTCGCTTGAAGCAAACACAAGTGAGACCTTTCCCCATCCAGATGGGTGCCCCGCAAGTTGCATCATCTGCAGTCAATAGAAATGTTTTTCACATTTAATATACAGATTCAGCTGTCTCACAAGAAGCACATTCAGGTGTGGGTCACGTCTCATGAGTGACGGCAATCGGAGCTTACTTTTACAAGATTTTAAAGCCATCCCAACATGAAAAACATTATCAGGGATTAACAGACAGAAACACACAGTTCTGTTATGTATTCAAAGTTAACAAAGGCCACACAAGGCGACAAAAAGATTGACCCAGAGTTCATCAAGACGTTGCTCTCCTGTGAAGCAATAGATTGTCAATGACAATTTAATGCAATGTTTAAACATAAAGAAGAGCAGGGCACAATGCTTCGGCATTTAATGTTAACTTCATGACTCTTGTGGATTGAAAGGCAGATTGTATTGATAGCCCTGACCAATGATCATTGTCCAACTCTACAGATATACTATCAGATGCGTTCAAAAGATGAAATAAGAACTATATACAATATCAGTTTCCTTAAAGACATACCACACAATGACAAAAGACGTACAAATAGACAGGACTAGTGACAAAATAGTTCTGTTTGAAAGAGTCAGTCGTTACCACCAAAGAAACATTTAGATACTTAAAGTATATTCTCTATCATTTATCACCATGAGATTTACATAAGTCAGATCATATCTTAAGGACTCAGTCTCAATTCCAAGCTGAAAATTTAAGTAATTAACAAAATATTTGCAGTACATCGTAATTACCAGATGCTTGCCAAACAGCTGCGACAAACTAATAATCTCCTCTATTTTTTCTTCACTAACTTTTTCCCCATTAAATAAGAGAAAGAAAATCAGATTTTTCCTGATTTCTAGAATAAATTTTAATTAATTTTGCTTAAGCAGCGAGTGAATATAGGCTTGCAATGCAAATTCAAATGACTCTAATAGCATTAAGCTAAATTTTATTCAGAAAAAGAAAAATCAACATTTACTAGGATGCTTAAAGAACCAGAGAGAGAGAGAGACACACACACACACACGCACACCTTAAATATGTACTCCCTCCGTCCCGTTTTGTTAGTCTTGGTTTTTTTTTCACACAGATTAAGAAAGTGTAATTAATTTGGTTGGAAACATAAATTTAGATTAGTAATTTCCTAAAATACCCTTATGCTAATCACGAAGAGTGCCAATTAATATCAGTTAAAGCTAATGGATTAGTATTGGAAAAGCTCAATGTATTCAATGTAGTGGGTTAGTATTTAATAACAATGTATTAATAACAAGATATTTAATAAGGGTATTTTAGACAATTTGAAAGATTACTACATTTCTTAATGGGAAAGTGGACTACAATTTGGGACAGACGAAAAAGGAAAACAAGACTATCAAAGTGGGACGGAGGGAGTATATAATTTTAATCAAGCAATGACATAAAAACAATACAAAATAAAAAAACTTGACTAATAATCTAATAAACAGAAAGAGTTCAAGACAGTAAAAAAAAATTGCATTAAAATGATGAATGATGAATGTGAAGAAAAATCTCACAACCTAGCTTTTAACTGAATCTGACCCAACAGAAGAGTCTCGGTCTCAAGCAGCACACAAAGTCACACAACCAACTATAAACATATACATTTCACCACTGCAATATCCTACATAAGCATAAATATAACTGAGATATAGACAGACAGCTCTATATTTATGTGAAGCGGCGTCGTAGGGAGTGATTGATAAGAGCTTAACAACTTACCTGAAGAAGCAGAGGAATTTGAGAGGGAGCATCTGGAGGCTGATGAAGCAGGCGGCGAGCGGACGGAGACACTAACGCAGCTTCCGTGAGTTCGCATTGGACTCATTTCAACGCTTTTTTTTTTTTTGGTCGTAAAGTCTTTGGATCACGCCTTCACTTCACACCAACATTTGGAGCGCACACTAGACACCGTGGAAAGACTGTCAGGGGTAGAGACTGAGGACTGAGGAGTGAGCGTGTATGGATGGATGGCGAGGAGGTGTTGCGGTTTTGTCCCCGAGAGAGGAATTTTATGCACGGAAATACCCCTGTTCATTTAATACTGTGTCGATTACTATTGTCTTGATTTTGATTCGGAATGATTATTAGTTTATTCTTTTGAACTTTTCAGCTCGCAGTTGGGGGGATTAGTTGATGAAGTCCTTAATTAGCGGTATCTTCTCTACCTAAATTGATTAGATTAGATTACATGTACTTAATTAATTATTGGTGACGATATTTCCTAGGAGTTGGAGGGACTTCTACTTTGTCTTTTTTTGTGTGTGTGTGTGTGAAAGTTTATAATGTAATTCCTCATTTTCTCTCCCCTAGGTGATATGGCCAATTGAAGAGAATTGATAGGTCATTTTGAATATTTGAGTTTGACTCATATTCATTCCCAGCTCTTCTCGTAATTTCTCTATTTTTTAGCAACTTAATCCTTTTTAATAATTTGAATTATATTTTATTATGATTTTTCTCTCGTCTAACAAACTTTATTTATATTTATAAATTTGCTTAATTATTTTATCCATGTGTATTAACTTTATTGGTGTTACTTTAATTTGTTCATGGCGAAAAATGTTTTTGTATTCTTGGTGTTTATTTGAATGCAAACATATAGTTTTAGGTTTTTATTCATGTAAAAATTTAATAATTGATTCAAAAATTAATATGGTAACAAAACACATATATGCATTAATTTGCTAAAATAAATATTTATGAATATGCAACAATGTTGTTTTGTAAAATTATTCATGGTTGCACAATTTCACAACTAATACTAATACAGAAAGAAACTGTGTTAATGCAAAAGTTAAAATAATTATTGATTTCTTAAATTTAAAAATATACCCGGGATTGTCCATTTGTAAGTAAATCATAATGAAGATATTACATTTCAGTGTCAAGAACAATTATTAGATAGAATTTTTAAGTAATTTAAGTTTTCTCGTTTTTAGTACCTTTAAAATATAATAATAATAATAATAATAAACAAATACGGTAAACAAGAGTGATGTAATTGACTATTTGATAATTTATTTCAGCAATTAAACTTAATATGTTCAGTTGTGTTTGATAACAAAAAAATAAAATATCTGAATTAATTAAGTGAGACTGAATTTTTCAATCAAATCTTGGTCCAAAAAATAAGTGATAAGTTATTCACTTATTATTTAATGTGATGATGTACTGAAATGTATCAAATTTAGTAATTAACTATTCAATAACTTAATAGATTTAGACTTTAGATTTCAATTTTCATATTTCTATTTTATCAGACGCACCCTGAATATGAATTGGAAAGTACAATGCTTCCAAAGGATTAAAAAAATTTGAGCAAATTATGTGAGAATTTAATTGAGAAAAGTTTCCAACAAGCCCCTAAATTATTCACTTTCTATGATTTTAGCCCCTCAACTATAAGATGTCGCAAATAAATCCTTAAAAAAGGCTTAGTTTAAGGACTTTCGTCAATTTTGAGCATTAATATATGATGGAATTAAGGGCAAAATCAACCCACGATTTGATTAAAAACCAGCTAATAACATGGAGGTGAATGTTTCTTCATCTTTTTTCATCTTCTTTAATCCTTCACCTTTTTTGTCCCTAATTTGATAAAATAATTAGTCAATGAAACCTGTTTAAACTGTTTTCGTGGGTTGTTTTTTTTGTTTGGTCAGTTTTGCCCCTAATCCAGTCGCTTCTAATGACCAAAAATTAATGGAAGTCCTTAAAGTAATTTTTTTATGTAAGGGTTTATTTATGAAAATTTATAATCGAAGGGCCAAAATCGTGCAAAGGCAATAGTTTAGAGCTATCTAAAAAGTTTCCTCAATTTAATTTAATCTTTGTGTACTTATGGATGGTTGACTAACTTGGTTAACTTGTGCAATGGTTAACCTGTGCGATGAACCAAGAAATATGATAATGCCTCGTGATTTCGTGAATATAAAGAGCATGGTTTTTGGAGACACGCACAAATTAACATGCAAAAATAAACAATTATATTTTTTTTTTTACGAGCACACAATAACAAGCATTAAGATACCTAAATCCCTCCCTACATACCATGTGAATGCATATGATAACAATTACAATTACTACTTTTTTTGAATAAACCAAAAATTTGGCATTTGAACTATTAATTTTATTTTTAAAAAAAAAATTAACACATAAATTATATGTTTTAACAAGTGCTGGGCGGTCGCTCATTAGGCAGAGCCATTAAAATACGAAACGTAATGTTCAAGATAAGGAACCAATTGATGAGTAATCGAAAAAGTTGAAGACACGTTGTAGGTTGGAAGGATCTTGACATTTGTATTTTGGGCAATAGTAACTCATGTTGCAACTTGCAAGCATATAGAATTTAGGTCCTTGGGCCCTTTTCTAGGAGGTCCTCGTACAGGACGAGAAAGTCGCTACCAACCAACCAACAAGTGATATGTAGCACGAAGGCATGGAGACAAAGGAGTCCACAAACAGGAATCAATTTCCACACATGGCAGCCGGCTGATCGGCTCTCCCAACCCCGACACTATGACACTCTTTTGACACCAACAGCATTGTGTTGTGTTGGGCAGTGATGAATCCGTTTTCAGGGTGGCATTTGGCATAACGATCAATGTGCCATCGCTACATCTCCGAGACCCGTGTAAGATCATCTTTGGTTCCATCAAAGTCTTTTGATTGCCATCAAAACAAAAAGCTTTATCCAAGCATTAAAAAATTTTAGTATTGTTTTCCTTTAGCCAAACTTTGGGACCGTCTTTAATGAATTATGGAACAAACAAAAAGTAAAAATTCAGGAGTTTTTATAAGTCGAATTAAATATGCAGCAATCAGTTCAAAAGTAGTGAAATTGCAACAAGATTTGCCCCAAACACTAGAAATCGCAAAAGAAAGAAAGGAAAAAAAAACTCAAGGGTCTATGAGGACTTGTAAAACTACCTGTCAAAAGAGAAAATATATCTTATAAGCTGCAGTTATCTTTACTTTTTTCTTTTTTTTTTTTTGTCAATGCGATAATAATTTTCTATACTATGGAAAGGGGAGGGTTTGAAGAGGTCTTGGGACAATTCGGAAGAGAAGCAAGACCACATTTAATTGTGACAAATTAGTGCAAGGCAAGGTTTGCAGTTATCTTTGCTCGTAGTTATAAAAAAATAGTTGTAATCCAATAGATAATAATAATGACTTCATAACTACCTGTCCGACCGCGTATTAGATCTCATCGCATGTGATTTGGCAATAAATGATTTTTTATGGAAAGAATTTAAATTCTTATCCGTTAGTATTATCATATGAAATGCGTATACTATGATGCAGTAGGTTCTTGTATGTGGTTTTTGTCTGATTAATTGCACTTAATAATAATTCATGCCTTCCCTCAAGTCAAATAATAATTCATGATTAATTGCACCGTCTTAATCAGCATCCACAACCTAATGACCTGCCCCTTGCGCGTCTTTGTACCTTCAATGAAGGAAAGGGAAAAAAAAAAAAAAAAAAAGGTGAATTATACTATATGATCGCACTGCCCATGAGTGTGCTGTGCTGCTGGACGCCCCTTTGGCCAACACCATCACGCAAACACAATAATAATGTGTCCTTGGACTATATGCACAAATCCATCCTTTTGGATTCAAAGTTTGCCTCTTGACGAAGTGACAACATCCACAAGAGACTTATTCGTCGTTCTCTATCTCGTTCTACACAGTAGTATATAGCGCACAGGCAGAATTATTCGTAGCCAAAGGACATTCATGCAATTCAGACCTCATCCACAAGAGACGGAGACGGACAGTGAAACCTTATATAGGAGTATTACATATTTCGATTGGCTCAAATAGGGCATGGAAATCTGATGCTCCATTCCAATTTTCATTTGCACGAGTTTTATTTATCAGCTTTGAGCTTTTGCAACCTTACCCAGCGAGCAGTATCTGTTTATAAGATATATATGACAGTCCTTTTGGTCTCAACTTTATTCATTGTGTTCTTCTTTTTGAGGAAAAGGTTTCATGGGATTCTGATGCAGCTGCATATTCAGTGGCTCACTTTGGTTACACGTGCCGCCCAGTTCTTCACCCGTACTTGTTCTTGCTTTCCCTATTGAGTTAATCACCTTTCTTTTGGGTTTCACCGTGCCATTTGAAATCTTGATGCTTGATATCATCATTACTCCCGTAATGGTCTTCTTGCTCTAGGGAAAAAGCTTCGGAAGAAGAGTCAAATTAATTACTGGGCGAATGTGGCTAGCAAGTTGGCTTGGGATCCGCGAGGAACCAGAAATTTTTGTTTGAAAGGACGAAATATATTACTACTATATGCATATGAATTTTCAAATCTAGTACTATAAGAAAAAACATATGAATATCTACAAGTTTGGGTTCCATCCCCTTGCCCAGGACGTCATTCAGGCCTTGATCTCTCAGAAGACAAAAAGAATGACTACTTTAATGACCAAAAAAAAAAATTGTTCGCATGCAAGAGATGCAACACTCACGAAAGGTTTGAGCACTTTCTAAAAAGACCCACTTGAGATCGAATGAACTTAAACCACTCCAGTTTGAACAGATGATTTATAGTTAAGAATGGGTTTCATTTCGTTTGATTCTCCATTTTTGATAAAAGAAAGTGGGAGAGTTCCTTGTCCAGGTAGACTGTGTCATCTCAAATTTGTAAAATTTCTACTGGGTATCTTCCAAAAAGATTTTTTTTTTTTTTTAAAAAAAAAACCTGTTATTTTCTTGATTTTTGCCACATTTCTTGACTGTCTCACGCCCCTTCATCTTCTCCGTTCGACTTTCACAAGAAGTTGATAGGCCTTGCGAACCGGGGATGTTCACACTCCAATTTCTTATCTTCCTGCAGCCCTTTTTGTGCACATAATATATATAGTAGCATTGGAGAGGTCTTCCAAAGCACTATATGCATATGTAATAAAACACATTCAGTTCTGCACGCACAATTCGCAGAA